AAAAAAAAAAAAAAAAAAAAAAAAAAAAAGTTGCCCAACATTCTTTAATTAGTACAGATAATCAGTATGGGGTGAGGTGGGATATGAACCCAGCTGCCTGAATCACTGGCTTTCTTGACTTCCGTATTGGTTTGCTATCCCCTGGGGTCCTGGATTTTGCCAACTTCCTGACTTCAGACACTGGTTACATATCTTCTTCCTGCTTTCTTTTTTCTTTCTTTCTTTCTTTTTTTTTTTTTTTTTTTTTTTGAGACAGTCTTGCTTTGTTGCTGAGGCTGGAATGCAGTGGTGCGATCTTGGCTCACTGCAACCTCTGCCTCCCAGGCTCAAGCAATTCTCCTGTCTCAGCCTCCCGAGTACCTGGGATCACAGATGCCCGCCACCACGCATGGCTAATTCTGTATTTTTAGTACAGACGGGGTTTCACTATCTTGGCCAGGCTGGTCTCGAACTCCTGGCCTCAAATGATCCTCCTGCCTTAGCCTCCCAAAGTGCTGGTATTAGAGGCGTCAGCCACCTGGCCTTCTTCCTGCTTTCAACCCAAACACTCCAAACACTCATCAGAATCTAAAACTCAGTAAACAGCATCCAAGATTCTTTGTGAGAAGAATTGCTGCAATTTTAGGTATGAAGCAAATTAGTCTGTTTCAAGGTTAAAGCAACATGAACAGATAAGACGGCAGCCTTACTGATCTTTCAATAAAGCTTTTACCGAAGAAGGAAATGACGCTGAGTCACAATTTGAAGAGGCAACATGGGCTCTCCAATTTCTAGCTACAATCCTGTGCTTTTTGAAGGATGATGCCCTTCAACTGGATACCTCTTGCCCCAGAATCTTCCTGGGGCCCACTGGGAACACTGCCTACGCATTCTAGCCTTAACCTTTTGGAAAATAAACAGCCTTAGTTCTGGCTGAAACCCACTCCAATGCTGAAGGCCAGAAGTGACTCAGTTCTAAAGCCAGGCATGTCCTGAATTGCTGTTTGCTGGGTGAATGTCCGTCTAGATCATTTCCTACCTGTTAAAAAACATATTGAAATCCAAATATTTAAAAAAATCAATTTATTGGCTGGGCACGGTGGCTCACGCCTATAATCCCAGCACTTTGGGAGGCCGAGGCGGGTGGATCACGAGGTCAAGAGATCGAGACCATCCTGGTCAACAAGGTGAAACCTCGTCTCTGCTAAAAATACAAAAATTAGCTGGGCATGATGGTGCGTGCCTGTAGTCCCAGCAACTCGGGAGGCTGAGGCAGGAGAATTGCCTGAACCCAGGAGGCAGAGGTTGCGGTGAGCCGAGATCGTGCCATTGCACTCCAGTCTGGGCAACAACAGCAAAACTCCGTCTTCAAAAAAAAAAAAAAAAAAAATCAATTTATTATGCTTTGGGTTTTTTTTTTTTTAATTATTATTATTTATTTATTTTAAGTGGGAGTCTTATTCTGTTGTCCAGGCTGGAGTGCAGTGACACAATCTCTGCTCACTGCAGCCTCTGCCTCCTGAGTTCAAGCAATTCTCCTGCCCCAGCCTCCTGAATAGCTAGGACTACAGGCACCTGCCACCATGCTCAGCTAATTTTTGTATTTTTAGTAGAGACAGGGTTTCACCCTGTTGGCCAGGCTGGTCTCAAACCCATGACCTCAATTGATCCGCCAGCCTCAGCCTCCCAAAGTGCTGGGATTACAAGCATAAGCCACCATGACCAGCCGGGTTTTGTTTTTTTTTAAATGATGTTTTAGGAATCAATACCATCAAGTTTTACACCCACAGGCTACTGTACTGAAACACTCATCAGAATCTAAAACTCAGTAAACAGCATCCAAGGTTCTTTGTGAGAAGAATTGCTGCAATTTTAGGTATGAAGTAAATTAGTCTGTTTCAAGGTTAAAGCAACATGAACAGATAAGATGGCAGCCTTACTGACCTTTTAATAAAGCTTTTACCAAAGAAGAAAATGATGCTGAGTCACAATTTGAAGAGCAAGAGTGACATCTTGTGGCCTACCAAAACATACCATGTATCCTTACAGGCAATACACTTACAGATATTAAAAACACCTTTACTGAAATTCTTGCAGAAAAAAAATCATTGTTTTTGTATAATTTTCTGAAGCAAAATTACTATGAACTACGGGCAGCCGCTCAGTTAAAGAGGCTGCAGGTTCTGCACAC